CTGGGAGCACTGGGAGTGGGGTGAGGGCTGAACTGGGAGCACTGGGAGCGGGGTGAGGGCTGTACTGGGAGCACTGGGAGCACTGGGAACAGGGTGAGGGCTGTACTGGGAGCACTGGGAGTGGGGTGAGGGCTGTACTGGGAGCACTGGGAGCACTGGAAACAGGGTGAGGGCTGTACTGGGAGCACTGGGAGCACTGGGAACGGGGTGAGGGCTGTACTGGGAGCACTGGGAGCACTGGGAACGGGGTGAGGGCTGTACTGGGAGCACTGGGAGCACTGGGAACAGGGTGAGGGCTGTACTGGGAGCACTGGGAGCACTGGGAGTGGGGTGAGGGCTGTACTGGGAGCACTGGGAGCTGGAGGCGTGTGTGTACTGGGAGCGCTGTGTGAATCCATACTGGGAGTACTGGGAATGGTGGGGGAGGGTTTTATTGGGAGCTACTGGGGATACTGGGAATACAATACTGGTCATACTGGGAGCACTGGGAATGGAGGTGGCTGCACTGGGAGCTACTGGGGGTACTGGGAATATCATACTGGTCATACTGGGAACACTGGGAATACTGGTATGGATCATACTGGGAGCATTGGGAATACTGGGAGTGTGGTACTGGTCATACTGGGAGCACTGGGAATGTGGTACCGGGCATACTGGGAATACTGGGAACATGGTACTGGTCGTACTGGGAATAATGGGAATGTGCTACTGGTCATACTGGGAACACTGGGAATGTGGTACCGGGCATACTGGGAATACTGGGAATGTGTTACTGGTCATACTGGGAGCACTGGGAATACTGGGAACATGATACTGGTTGTACTGGGAATAATGGGAATGTGCTACTGGTCATACTGGGAGCACTGGGGGTACTGGTAATGTGCTACTGGTCATACTGGGAACACTGGGAATGTGTTACTGGTCATACTGGGAAGACTGGGAATGTGTTACTGGTCATACTGGGAGCTACTGGTCACACTGGGAGCAGCACCCCGGGCTCACACCGGGCCTTACTGGTCCCAGTATGGCACTGGGAGTGCAAAAGGGGCTTCCCAGTGCTCCCAGTGCTCCCAGTAAGGCTCTGTCCCCTCCCCCAGGCCATGGCTGGCGCGTAGCCCCTCCCCCAGCGGAGCCAGCCCCGGACACGTGAGTGCCCCTCCCCCCACGGCCACGCCCACCCGGCCCGAAGGGGTGACAACAGGTGTGACAACGGGTGTGACAACAGGTGTGAACAGGTGTGACATCAGGTGTGACAACGGGTGTGACAACGGGTGTGACAACGGGTGTGACATCAGGTGTGACATCAGGTGTGACATCAGGTGTGACATCAGGTGTGACATCAGGTGTGACAACAGGTGTGACAACAGGTGTGACAA